AAAATCATTATAGGCTCATAACATTAATACGAGGAATAAAAATAAAGTGGTTGTTTTTGACGGTCATCTTCACAAAGACACAAATTCATTGTATACGCTTTTATAACAGGATTCCGGTGGTTATTCACAATTTTCCATTTACGAATTTTAAAACTATAGTGAAACAAAAATTTTAAACGTTTTTTGCTTACTTCATACAAAAATCCAAGATAATTATGCGTTTAGTTGTTTCAAATTGTTTCGACCGATATTTAATATCGATATTTGAAAAAAACTGTCGTCATTTTAGTAGCAGTAGAGCACTTGTGAAAGCATTTGTCCAGGGAAATACTTTATATTAATAAGTTTTTATACTTTATATTATTAATAAGTTTTTTAAATATAATTTAAAAAAAGCGACAATCTCATCCTGGAATGAAAAAAATGTATTAATGTGTGTAGGTTGGTTACTTGACGTACAGAGCCTCAAGAATTTGGAGAACAGGTTGTTCCATTTTGGGACAAGAACTTAGTCACCATTTCAAAAATAGAATATACGTTACGAAATAGGCCAGGTGGTTGTACTTCCCTAGACGAACTCTTTCACAATACTATGCCACATGCTTCAGGAAAGAACCCATTCCACAACTTGTAGATCCGAGGAAGGAACAAATTGATACTCATTTGGTCTTAGGATGTCAGGCATCAAGGATGTGGAAATGGGTTCTACTCCTTTGGGGGGAAGTCGGATATTGAAAATGAGGTAATGTCACTAATGGGAAAGTTCCCCTGAGCACTTTCCGTTCTGTAGGACACGCTTATACTCATTTAGATGTACATAACATCGTTTTATTCAAATAGATCAATTATCTTTGAGGTTACTTAAGTTACACTTACATCTTATTTTTTCAACCAAAGGGTCAAATACTAACTTAAAATTCCATTCTGAAACGAAGATTTATCGTCTTATTTAACACGGAAGCCATAAATCTCTACCCCCTGACTCCGCACGACATTGAAGTGGCCATTGACTGTTTACAATTGGCAAATTGCGAATTGACAAAATTGCCTTTTGGCCAATTTAGGTGGCCCCTCTCACAAGTTCAAAGTCAATGTCAGAGGATATTTAGATTTTGGTCGATGTTGAGAAGATTAATTTTGATTATGATGTTTTCGTTCATCTGAATGTAGAGGATATTTTGAAGCTAAACTTAATTGAAATACGAGCATGAAGGTCGGAAAGATATCGCTGCTTTTCAAGAGCACTTGACTAAACCAGTACAAGTTGACTTATGACTTGTACAGCTGTATTCAGAATGACCTAAAGTTGATTATGAATAAGACACTTTTATTGTTTTAAAAAATCAGGTCACTATTTGGGGGTATATGTTTATTTTAATAGGATAGTGTTATTCTATGGTAGCAGATAGATACACAAAAAAAAGTAAGAAAGTTTATGAATAGACAAGTTCCTCGAGGGTCTTACCCTGGGGCATCGTGCCCAGAAGGCAGGCAACATTTCGCCTTTGAATTGCTAAACTTATTCTTTGGCGGAAATAATTGCCAGCCTTTTCCAGAACCGGAGGCTTCTTTTATGGTCACTATTTGGGGCTGGTAAATGATTCGCCTTAGTTGTTTTTAAACCATCTTCCCGGAGAATTTTATGTTTTTGGCGTAAGTCGCTAGTCTAGAAAAGCATCGATATTATTCTTAGAGGATGGAAAAAAATAAAGGATATTATTACATACTTTGGTCAAGTCGTTCACAACAAGTGACATAATCAGCTGGAGAAAACACGAATCTACTGAATATCTGTCAGCCGGCCAGGCATGTATTACGAGACAGCGTCAATCGAGGTTACAAAATACTGTATACCATTTCAATGTTCAATTATAATAGTCTGATGTCTGAAATGTTATTTACAATAAAGCCTGTGTTCTCGCTTTGACCAGACGTACCTTTCAACTAGAATGCTAATGCGTGTTTCATTTGTGAAAATGTAAGCAATTATGTGTTTTTGTTATTATTTACGCAAAAACGCCTGTATGAAATCATGACCGTTACGTATGACCTTCAACTCTGTACAAATCATTAGGATTATATGCTTTGAAGCAGCTTGAAACTGAAGCTTGATGAGGAAAATAAAGCCAATTTTAAATATTTTGACTTAGTGGTTATATACGTGCTGCTTGCTATTGAAAGACGGTATCCAGACATCGAGAAATACGGCAGGATCATCGTCCCTACTTGGTCGATATACCCTTCAGGTGCACAAAGCGCTTTTCGTCATCTTTTGTTATACGCACTGTACAGGAAAGGACTTCTCTGACTGCGACTGTGTTTCCGAGCATATATAAACTGAGTATCTTTAAGCTGCAACTGAATTGGTATCTTCTGGGTGAGCTCATTCCATCGTAGACCATACCTTTGCTCCAGATGTTGGTAGTGGTCAAGAGCAAGACCATTTAGTTCAAAATAAAGATGATAAGAAAACAAAACAACAAATGTTAGGCTTATGCTTTATAAATATGATAGTCAAGTGTATAGATACTGTATCTGTATGTATACAGATAGGTACTGTATCTGTTTCTATAAAAATGACTGAGGCTAGCTTCACTAAATTTTTACTTCTTCACTAAATTGTTTAGTGAAGCTAAACAAAGACCAGCTTTTTAAACGGTTGACCATGGGATCTTCAAAAAACCCGAAACGGTTCAAAAAACAAAACCTCGATAAATAACATCTCATTTTTTTTTTTCAGTGGGCGTGCTCATCGGTATATTCGAGCTTGGTGTCCTACCGAGCTATCAAGGTGGATTCTATTGCAATGATCCAGCTCTTAGCTTTCCTTTCACCGGCGACACCGTCTCTTTCGTTGTTATTATGGTTACAGTGCTCCTTGCACCTGTTTTTGTAGTAAGTATTTTTAGATAGATAGATAACTCGTTTATTTGCTGCAACACATACAATATAAACAATCTTCTTACATAGGATAATGGTAATGATAAATAAAAAGGCTGGTCTAGGTTGGTGGGTATGGTCTGAAGTGTTATATTGTGTGGGGGTGTAGTAGAGTTGAGTGTACTGTATTCAGTGGAACTAGAACGCTTGTGATTTTTGTTTCTATCTTACTTTAAACCGCGACCATGTCGCTCAAGCTAAAAATCTTTTTTCTTCATTTTCTCTTCTGTGCTATCTTATTGTATATTGCTGATCAATTTCGAATCTAAGTGAAACTATCTACATACAGGTTGCGCCATTAAGTTGAGCGGATTTAAAAAATGTATTTAAAAAAAACTACAAGTACTACGGAAGCAAATTTATATTCATAAAAATTTAGAGAGGTGGGACATTTTTTTTTTAATTACATCACTGAGATGTGAACCACCTAGATGTACACACTCTTCGAATCTTGTTCTCAAATTTGCGAAAACTCACTGGCACATTGCTTGTGGTATAGCGGAGATTTCCTCGCGAATGTTATTTTTGAGCTCGACAATTGTGATTGGTTTATTGGCATAAACGCGACTCTTGAGATATCCCCAGAGAAAGAAATCTAATGGCGTGAGGTCTGGACTCCTGAGAGGCCACGGAATTTCCCCTCGGCACGAGATCAGTTTTCCTTTAAACAATTTGTTTACGACTGCCAATGACTCGTTAGGTGTATGGCATGTCGCACCATCTTGTTGAAACCATGTCCTGCTATTATAGGGTTCAAATTCATGCAGTTGTGGGAAGAAAAACTCTCGTAACATTGTTGTGTAGCGATCAGAATTTACTGTCACAGACTGGCCTTTCTCATTCTCAAAAAAATAGTCATCTTGTGGCCTCCTTACATGTCAATCGAAGACTTACGCTGGCATCGCTATCGTCGTAGTGAAGGAAGGAACACGTGAGAACTTTGATATCATTTTAGCGAGAATAGCACAGGAATTATGAAGATAATATTGTTGAAGGAAGCCGAGACACGCGGCTGTAGATGGACTGTATTATGGCGCTATAGTCATTCTCTTTCTTGCCTGTGCGATTCTTGCTAAGAATGACATCAAAGTCTTCACGCGTTCCTTCCTTCACTACAACGGTAGCAGTGCGAGCATGAGTCTTCGATTGGCACAGTATGGAACACACAAGATGGCATAGTTTGTTAGTTACAACGTTTCGATAGAAAGTTGATCAGCAACACAGAAGATAGAAAATGAGAAGTTAGATTTTTTTAAGTAAAAGTTGGTTTTTGAGCTTGAGCCACATGTTACTTTGTTTCTTTTGCCAAGAAATCAATAACAACTGGTTAATTTTTTATCATTAAGTTCCAAGACTTGCAATCTTACAGTGTTTTTATCTTTATGTTGTCGGTACACATTATTTTTTGTACGAAGTTCGTCTTTTTACAACTCCAACTTTTGTTTTCCAGATCCTCATAACAGAACTAATATTCAGTGACTCAGCTCATCCCCGAAGTCGTTTTTATCAGGCAGGGAAAACCACTGGCTGGTTGTGCCGCAGTTATGGCTATGGGTTTGTCTTCAACTTGGTCATTGTAGAGGTCATGAAGGGTATCACCGGGTCTCCGAGACCAACTTTCTTTTACATTTGCGAACCGAGGATTAATGGCAGATTTTGCAATGGGTGAGTTCCTAGATGCTAATACGACATTACTTTTTGTGTTGTAAGACAGGGGTCTACTCTCGATGTCCGTCTGACGTCTGTCCGAAACAATTACTGTCAAATAAGTAATATTCGACCAAATTAAAAGACAGGTATCAAGTATGAAGCTTCATTCGCATCACGCGTCTTTTTATTTGGTCGAGTATTGCTTATTTGACATTAATTAATTCGGACGGATGTCAAACGGAGATCGAGACCCCCAGATTCTGAGTATTACTACGGAATATCATAAACATCTACTGGTCTGGAACCGTGCTCGAGAAAACAGAATGTGTCTGTAGAAGGATAAAATTTATTTTTTCTTGCAGAACGGATTTCGTACCAAACTTTGAGTGCACGAACAAACAGTTTTCTACATGGTATCAGACAGATTCATACCACAGTTTCCCCTCGGGACACACTTCTTTTGCCGTTTATTGTGGATTCTTCTGTGCGGTAAGAATTTATGACAATTATGTTACTTAGTAACAACGATAGGCTTCTCTTCTTAGAATATTATATAGTAGACTGATAATGCGACTTGAATGGCATTCAAACCGCATTGTGCATGCAATAGTTACTACAATATGAAAATTGGGTGCTACAGGGTTCTTAAAAATACTACACAACAAATAGTATTCTGGACCTAAAATCTTGTTTCATTACACAGTGGTATCTTCAAAAACGTGCATTTAACTGGAGAAGCAGAACAATCTTCTTAGTTCCACTACTACAGATGGTCCTCCTAACGTACTCCGCTTACTGCTCGTTGAGCAGAATCACGGATCACCGACACCACTGGTGGGATGTCGCTGTGGGGGCCTTTATCGGCATTATCTGCGTCTTGTACACAGTAAGTTCAATCCTTGTCTTGAGTTCAATGCAGCCTTTTATGTTGAATTTATATAATGTAATCGATAACCACACCTGGTCTCAAATGAGAGAATTCCCTGTTCCTTTCCCGGACACCCAAACCAGAATCAATTTAGAAAAATTTATTCCCCAAGTGGTTCCAAAATAGCGCCCATAGTGCAAACTATTGGCCCACCGAAATCGCCAAACATGTATCATTTTTAGGGAAATTTCTACTTGAATGCATCCTTTTGGATTTTCGGTTCAGTTCTGATTATTCGAAAGATCTATGTCTTTCTTAATCTTGATCATTCTAAACCTTCTCATTTGACGTTGGTTTCTTAGTAATTCTAATGAGAGTAACTGTGTTTCTTGCAGGTGCTAGTGTTGTGCAAAAACTTTGCATTCAACAAATCCAATGACATCTCCAGTGAAGGTCCACAGACCAAAACATTACTGTATGACAGAAGCGAACTGACGTAGTCATAAAATATTGAATTTAATAAAGTAATAAGTGTAATGTATAGTATAGGTGTATATTATGTGAAAATGACATTTAATTATTTTTGAGATAAAATCTTAAATTAGTTTCATCCGAATTTGGCAAAGCCAAAACTGTATTTATGACTCAAATACTGTAACATTATCGCAGGCGTAAGGTAAAGAGTAAATTATGCGGCTGATTTACGCGCGCTGAGAAAATAAAATAGCGATTATGAGGTGTTATATTTTCACGCGTTAATACTTAAGACTGAACAATACTTCCACTATGTAATATCGTATTGCAGATCTTGTTGTATGCGATTTAGAATTGAATTTATATCATTTGGTGAGCTCTTTACCGTGTAGGTATTACACATTGAGTATTATGTCTCTACAATATTGCAAATTAATACTTACAATGAACAGTATTTAACCAATGGAATATCTGCTTGTAAGTATATAATACTTAGGCAGGTGGGTCAAGTTTACCAATATTAAATATATTTATTATACAGGGTTATCTGTCAAAACTATATTACTAATATCATAAATGTCTTTTTTACAAAATCTTTAAAAACGTCAACCGTGACGATGGGACCTGTAAAAAGCTGACTCTTTACAGTATAGCAGTGCATATTTGTTTTTTCACGTTTCCAGAAACGTTTGTTTGAAAAAACAAATATACACGATTTAAATCCGAAAAAATAGTTTCGTCTCCTATGCGTAACAATCGCGAAAACCTGAGAACTCGATAAAAACTTTAAAGTTCATTTTTGGTAAGTCTACGTATGTAAAAATGAACTTTAAAGTTATTATGTGGAAGAAAAATTGTTTATGATGTTAGTAATATAGTCCTGCGAGATTTCGTATTTTATAATTAATTTATTATTAAGTACCTATTTACACTATTTAATTCGTTCATTACTCTTCGTAAAATACAAATATTAAGTTAATAAATGAAAAGAGAAAAAAAATTGAATTTGCTTTCTTTAACTCATATAGATAAAAGTAAAAACAAATTGTTGATGGCGACTGGCAATTTTCACCTTGCTCTTTTTTTTATAAAAATATAAGTGCACATTTGATCTCCATCTCACCTGACGGAAAGTGACGATGAGGTCGACGATGGAGCATGCACACATTGAAAATGGAACACGAAAATGGAAGCGTAAATGTCGCGTCGTTGCGCGTGAAGGCGCGCTGTCGTTGGAATGCTAGAGCATTGAGATGGCCAAGCGCCCGGGTTTAAATCTGGTTAAAACCATTAAGGTTCAAAATCCAGGACAAAAACTATTTACAACTAAATATTTATGTAAATCTAGTTTTGTTCAAATTTAATGATAGTATTAAAAAAGTTGATTTTCTGACCTAAAGGATTCGATTTGATTCGCTTGAAAATCGCATTGAAATAGATCGATACAAAAAATTGTTTGATTGTATCTTGGTCGTAAGAACTTGAATCAATCTTCATAAATTGAATCGTAATGTGCATCCTTAGTAGAGAGAATTCACGGGATCGCAATGTGGGTCTAAATATTGTGGAGTTGCCTCTTTTTCGTCTAAAAAAGATTTTTTACTTCGAAATTCTTCTTCGTCTTCTTAGCGTGTCAACTCTGACGTTTATGGTGGCGCTGAGAAGGGCCGTTGGGGAAGCTTTGAGTCGTGATGGGAGGATCGGCCAGTCTACGTTACCGACTTGCCGTCCGCAGACCATTGCTCAGGGTGCGCCGGGCACAAAATACATATATTATGTCGATGCGCCACACGGGGAGGCTCCTTCCTTGCACCCCAAATCGAATTAGAAATTCGTTATATGGAATTATATAAAATTCAGTATTCACCGTTACTGCCCACGATATTCGACAAAAACGGGTTAAAACTAAGGAGTTTTGTTTCTTTCTTATCTTTTCTACTTAGAGTTCATTTAACCCACTGCCCACTTCTGGGCGCACAACATGTTCGTCCCGTCTTTTGATATCATAAAATAACGAATATAAAATGCATAACATAATTCAAATAGTTATAAGTCAAATTAATTATATATTATTAATAGTTATGAGTTATAAAAATAAAGTTTGTTTTCTTACAATGTATCTACTTACAATAATTTTACTTTTATCGACTAATTTTGAAGTAGATATCAATTTCCTTAAATCAATGTATGTACGTTTTATCTAAAGGTTTTTTACTGACAATTTTGCGAGTGTGATAATTTTAAAATAATTTTGTAAATGTTTTGTAAAGCAATAGATTAATAATTAGACGTAATTAGTAAATAATTATAGCTCCATTTTGTACGACGTATCTAACCAAAATGTAAAATACGGTAACAAAATGGTGTAAGAGAGGCTAAAGGAATTACGATTATTGTATGTGCCATAATATGAGTCGTTTATGCATTGAATTACTTACGTTCTTAGCACCTCTGCAGCAGTAGAGCTGCTTGTGAAAGAACTGCCACCTTACCTATTTCACATGGGGCTTGTCAACTTATATCTCAAAATGACGGGCGCAGTCGCAGTGAACCCAGATCTTTGCGATGTAAAGCTCTAAGCGGCACGCACACGGCTTGTTCGTCCCGTCATTTTGCATCATAAAAAGAAACCCTGATATCTGGAGCCAGTCACCGGCCGAATATCTGTCCTCAAAATTCTGCAGCCTATTTTCGTGCGGTGACCGACTCAACCTTTATTGTTAACGTTGACTGATTACTAATTACAGTAGCAGTTGTTTTTATTTTCCCGATATTTCGGAATAGCTTTACGCTCTATAGTCTCGGGTTCACTGTGAGATATAGGGAAAACAAAAAGAACTCATGCCGTGGTAAGAAACCTGTGATTGGTGATAAATCATTTAGTGAATAAACACGAAAGTCTTAAAAATCTATACTGTTTAGGGTGCTTTTAAATAAGTGCAGTGTTGTGACTCGCGCGCGCTTTTTTTGCAGTGACAATTAGTAAAAAAAAATTAGTAACACGTAACGTGCGGCTGCCGCGCCACTACTTTTATATGCGTCCAATTTGAAGACCTTAGTGTTAAGTAGTACAAAGTGAATAAGCGAATGAAAAATTGTTTAAAATAAATATCTGAAAAATATGGACTGCATTTGTTGTTTTAATTCATTTTTATTAACCCCTGACCCAAAAAGAGAGGAATTACAAGATTGAAGCCTTTGTCTGTGCGTCTGTGTGTATGTATGTGGCATCGTAGGCTCCCAAACGAGTGGCCCGTGCCTCTACCACGAGTTTACTGTGACACTAGTCGCTAGAGACCGCGTAAATGAATTGACAATTTTGTATGGCATATTAATTTATATCCTTAAACTAAACATTATTATAGTGTTACTTTAAATGCAATTCATTTATAATTTATCCGTAGATCAACTAATGCATATGGAACAATTAATATATATGTATATCATACATTAAAAAAATATCGGTTATTTAAAAAAGTGCACATACTATAGATCAATTATATCTTCGAGGATCAAATAACATTATCCCATTAAAAACATATGAGAGATACTCGTATGTTATCTCCCATCATGAGAGATCCTTCGTGAGAGGTGCAGGTGGAATATGTACACCACCAACTCTGGTACACCATTAACGAGCGGCAAGCTCCCCTAAGACGCCATCGCCCATTACATCTTGGGAAGGCGGGTGCTAATACCTCTAAAGGCCTTTAGGCGGATAGGTTGCATGCTCCGCCTACCAACCCCAACGGCAGCACCTTGGCGGGATTTTTATAGTGTCGTCGGTCGGTGGCCTTAGCCTGTCCGGCGCCGGACTCCACCTCGCCAGGAATTTTGTCAAGACCAACAAGAGCCCGTGATGGGAAGTTATTAATCGTTGCCCCAAGTACGAGAGACAAGTATTTTCATGCTTAAAATAAGGTACCTTGTATGCAATTTTGTTTATTAAATTCAAAATTCAAATTCAAATTATTTATTTTCTCAGATAACAGGATCCATTGGTGTTAGTAAAAAAATAAAGAAACAAACTTATAGACTATTGTTAGTATGAAATTATAATTATAATTTATAATTATAATCTATACTCGTAAGTACATGACATTTTAGTTTCTAAGTAATTACTTAGAAACTAAAATGTCATGTACTTACGAGGCATCTCGTGCGGAATCATTGTCCGTACGAGATGCCTCAGTACAGGCGCTCTGTGGTCGTTTGCAACAACTCTCACAATGCTGTTGCCACTACCCCGGAGCCTACTAACCAAAGATGCTACCTTTCTCCGCAAGACCGCATTAAAGCAGCTTGTATGGGATAGAGCAAACATTGCAGAGGCACTGCAGTACGGGGGTAGTCTCAACATCATCCTGAACACGTTGTTGTACTGGATGCGAAGGGAATTCAGCGACCTTTGCGAACAGCTAAACCACAAGCCGCCCGTGTACAGACCCTGACAATACGCTTTAAAAAGCGTAATTTTTACTTGGTCCGTACAGCGGGCAAACCTGCGGGCCAGCATATTCCCGCGGACCGCCAAAGCCCTGCGTTCCCTCTCGACGTCGTCATCATCTTTAAGGTCGTCGGCAAGTATATATCCAAGGTATTTAAAATGAGACACCTGTTTTACACTCATGCCATTTAGCGAAATAGCTGGAAATGACTCTGGGCCTTGAAGACCATGAACTCGCTTTTTTTAACATTATAAATTAGTCCGTGTGATGCGGCATATACCTCACAGACTGCCAACATCTCCCTAATAGACTTCGCAGTCGGGCCCAGCAGCACCATGTCGTCCGCATAGCTGATGTTGTTCACACAAACATCCCCCACACAACAGCCGACACGCATGCTACTGAGCTCGACTATCAGATCATTAACATACAGGTTAAAAAGCTTTGGAGACGATAATCCCCCCTGTCTCACGCCGCATTCCAACCTGTATACCTGAGAGAAGCTGTTGGACCACCTAAGTTGATTGGTCTGATTGCTGTACCAATATTGGAAGATTTTTAATAGTTCAGCTGGCATTCCCCTGTCCTCCATCTTCCTCCAAAGCACATCATAGGAAACGAGATCGAAGGCTTTGGAGAGGTCCAGAAAACACGCGAACACCGGTGTTTTACGTTCAGTGTAATATTGGACAGTATGCTTGAGAGCCAGAATCGCGCTTTCGGTTGAGAGTCCAGGCCGAAACCCGAACTGTGCATCATGGATCATCAAGCATACTATCCAATACTTTACCTATCGTGGTCGCAAGAGAAATTGGACGATAGTTATTCAAGTCTGAAATGTCACCTGTCCTGTTTTTCACTATGGGCACCACCGTTGTTTTCATTAAATCATCTGGTAGATAGGAATGACTAATGCACATAGTGAAAAACATAGACAGGACCCTTGGCAAATGCAGTCCTGCATACTTTAAGTGCTCGATACTGAGCCCATCATGTCCGGGAGATTTACCTCTGCTCATATTTTTAATAACAGCTTTTACCTCACTCGCTGTGAATCTTAGCAAAGGCTCCTCCCCCTGCACGACAGACCCAGCGTCGGTCGACCCAGCGGAGGCACCCAGTGGAGACAGCACCTTAAAATGCAAATTATATTTGAGAGAAAATAAAGTATTTTTATTTTATAAATAATAGCAGCGGTAGAGCTCTTGGTGAAAGAGGTCGTCCAGGGAAGTACTGCCACCTTGCCTATTTCTGCCACCAAGTACTAATGTGGGCAATAGGTACTGCGTTCCGGTTTAGAAGGGTAAGGGTGCTGG